AATTAATTATCCTCCAAGAAACTCCAATTTGTGAATTTGAGGCCCATCAAACCTATGTTTTTTTTTAAACTAATCGTTTTAAAACTCAAACTTCAATTTACTTTGTTTGGTGATAATTACTACTCTATAAATACCTCCTTCCTGGACTTAAAATGGAATAATTCTGGTCATTAAATGGAAGAAACACTAGGATCCCAACTAGGATGTATTCGAGTCTGTTTTTCTTTTTCATCTTCTGACCTAGATTACAGCAATTGTGTATGACCTTTAGTACTTTTAGGTCATCACTTCTTAAGAATACTGTACTACAAAAACAAGACTCTTATTATTAACAAGAGCAATAAACAACTGTTTTTTTTTTTCATTATTTAGAGTTTTGAATGGGAATTTCTGATTCTCGACAAATAAACATGAGTGCCAAACATTTTGTAGACACAGCAATCCACGATAAGTGTGTGGTAGTGTTCTCGAAATCATGGTGTCCATACTGTAAAATGGCAAAGACTGCCTTAGATGATGTTGGGGCCAAATACGAGGTTGTTGAACTGGACAAACGAGGCGATGGTGACGCCATACAGGACTACCTCAAAAGCATAACTGGCGCTAAAACGGTAAAATACTCGCATAACTCTTAGTATCTGGTTATACTGCTCATTGCAGGATCTCAGGGGAACGGAAGCAGGCCCCCAAGTCAACTTGGCCCCATGACAACTCGGCCCCAAGTCAACTGGAGCCAAGTTGGCAGAGTTGACTCGAATTCATCTCAAGTTAGTAGAAACCACTTCTCAGCTGCTGGTTCAATGAGCTCTTTCAATACTTCTTAATGGGAGTCATTAATATGTATCAGTTTTTTTTTCCCTTCATTTTTGTATCTTTTATTTATATAGTGCCTTTACCTTTATAAGAAGCCCTATTTTTCCTTGGACATTAGATGCAGAATCAATAATGCGCAACCTTCTACACTCTATGAGAAGTATTCTTTATGGCCTATGCTTGTAATCAACACTCAATTTAATTTTAAAATCAATCACATTGGCTTCCATCAGGTAAAGAGAGGCAAATGTCGATAGTGTTTTGCCGAAGGACACAATGTGACCGTCACGAACCCATGACATCTTGGTTCAAAGCCCAATGCCATAACGATATGTCACATGCTTCCACAAAACATGGCTGTGGAGCAATGTGGTCAGAGGCTCGAATGTGACCTTAACTCTTGTTAGTATCCTTGACACTCTCTCCACACAAGATCCTATCTGGGTACCTCGTAGCTGGTTTGAAGACCAATTGATGCAATTCAATGTTATGGAAAACTTGTCATGCAGCTGAGTGTGTGCTCGATAGCACATTTCAATGACCTGGGTGATAATGTGAAATTCATTGAGGGTTGGCTTAGCACTATACAAATAACATATAAATAAGCACACACAGTATTATTATTATTTGTATTAGTTATTTTCTCTTTACTTTCAAGGTGCCAAGAGTTTTTATCAAGGGCAAGTGTATTGGAGGTGGCTCAGAGACCAGAGATTTGAAAGAGTCTGGAGAACTTGAGAACATGCTGCGAGAGTGCAATGCTCTTAAATAGATACACAAGTGCCTGAAAACAACATGTTGTATAGTGTTCACTATAAGTGAAATACAGTAATCCATATCAAACTAAAGACAGTCATGTAAAGTCTAGTAGCAAAACGTTTATATCTAGGTAATTACTATACTTAATAGTGGTGGTATAGTATACAAATATTTACTGGGTTGACAGGCATAGCCTCTAGATCACCAAGGGCTATATTTTGAACTATGACCCAATTAAAACCCAGTAAATGTTTGTTTTATATACCACTACGCAGATTGTAGGTATTACAGGGCATGGCTGGAACTATTGCTCGGCTTTTAACCAATCGAATGCCTGACTTTTTGTAGTTGGTATATAATAATTACTATACCTACCAATGATTCATTTTCAAAGTGTAAGCTACAGAAATGAATGAATATATATTTGTATTGATGAATTGAATAATATGTTTAAGTAATGAATCTGGTTGCTTGTGTACTTGTAGTATTATTGTTAGAAACTTGATAAAATTCTGTAAAAAAGCATTTTTTATTTTAAAAGTTGCCATGCCTTTTTTTATTAAAAAATATCCACATGGATATAAGGCCACTCCTAAAACAAATTATGTGTGCAAATTATATGTGCCTTAAATAACCATTGATTCAATGACCTGAAAGAATTGTGAACTACACTCAAATATATATCCTTTAACATTTTAATTACTTTTTATATCTTTAGTTATTTGCTCTCCGTTGACAATTTGGTTGAGAATATATTTTCTTTCTGAATTACCAAGACCATACATAAATCATAAGATTCTTATAATTATTTACCCATAAATTGGCTTGTTATTTTCATAGTAAAATATGGTAAGCTCTCCACACTGTCAAATGTTATGTGACAAATAAATGTGATATGCCCATATTTGGATGGAATATGACATCATCATGCCCATATATGGGCACATCATACACAATTTGTCACATGGAATTTTCATAGTGTGGACAGAGCTTTATTACAGATTTTACCACAGACAAATGTTTTGTTTGTTTTGCTATAATAGTGTAAAAATATTAACATTTGGTTTGATCAAGATAATTTTCATGGTCGTCAGAGGCACAACAAATATTTTTTTCCAAGCCTGCCATATTGTATACAGTACTTCTCTTAAGCCTGGCACCCACTGTCATGCGATGGTCGTACAACACGACAAATCAATCTTCGCTGTCTTTGAGGGCTTAACAATGTGGTGTTGTCTGCTGATTGTCAATGGCAAGACAGATGGATTATCATTATAAACAGTCCATTGTGCATACCTTTTGTGTTTTTGTGTTCCTCAGACATTCAATTGCTTTTGCCAGCTTTGGCTGATTGACCGTTGGAACATTGTATTGTCATTAAAATTTCATTTTTTTCATATTTATTTTCTGATGGTGGTAATAATACTGTAATAATTTCATTCATTCGTAGTGCTTTTCTTATATACTTTTATATAGTTTGTTTTTTTGAATGGCGTATTTATCTTTATTTTCGACAAAATGCTTTATTATCTATACTTCCATGTTTAGTCTGATCCCAGCACCAAATACCATGTTAATTTTTATCACAGGTTATATCATTATTCTATCTTGTGTCAAATAGGCTCATCTGTCATTTAATTAATGATAGCTTTTGTATAAAACTGCTTACAATTTTTCTTTGCAGCAAAATGATGTAAATTACAGTACTGTAATTTCTGTTTTATAAGGTTTTATGCAATATTAACTTGTCTTGGTATTCTGAAGCAACTCCCATTATGAGGATCTGTGGGGGTTTTTTTTGCACAAAAAGATTGACTGTAAATATAAGGTGTAGTTTGATGCAATAAATAAAACCAGATGATTTGGTAAGCAAATTTGCCTAGCTCATTTTTTATAGATGTGTTTAATTCTCAACAAATAACATTCATGGTCTGTGGATATGACATTGCCGTGTTTGAGTCTTGGTGGTTGAGGCTGAATTATTTTTGCCATTCTTGGTTAGATTCATCGTTCTGCTACATTCCAAATATGTTATTTTTTATCTATCCCGAGTGCCACTAACAGGAACACAGTAGCTAGTTAACAGATACAAAAAATAATGTTGCTAGTCTTCGCATGAGAGTGCTGATATACAGTACTATTACCCTAAATCCACCATATTAAAAATGTAGTTACTAATTTAACCAAACTCACTTTATTTATTTAAAACAATTTTGTCTATACTTCATCTGAAAGAAGTCCTAAAAATGTTCATAAGATACTGTACTGAAAATTTGATTTTGGAATATCAAAGAAAAGCAAAAAGAAAGTTCAAAAACAACTTACACTAAAAAAAATTTAAAAAAATGGGTATAATAGCATAGCACAAAACAAAACCAAGCAAGTTATTGTAATATTTTACCCTTATTGGCATATCTCACAAATTGTTAGTATCAGTAAGTTAGTCAATGAAATGAAACAAATTACCGGAACATCAATTTATTTATTTTTTTTTTGTGTATATAGAATGGTTTTAACTACAATTGTAATTATGATAAGGACAAAAAACCCCAGTAATGATGATTCAATTCAAATTAACATTTATTTTCCTTCATTGAAATGTTTTATAATATATACAACATGAAGAAAGAAGAAAATGATGATGCAGAAATTAGCCTATAGGTACTTTATTGATGTAACAAGAAATGACAAAAAATGAAGACCTATTCAAAGGAAAGTAAATGAAAAGTTACGTACTGTACATATATTTTAACTCAAACAGTGCTCAAATAATAAGATCAGAGGCAGATTATTTTTCAATTAACGCGGTGCATACAACAAGCTTATTGCTATATAATATACAGTACAATAATATCCTGTATCATTTTATCTGGTGCGGGCATGGAGATATAATAAGAATAATAGCTCTATGGGTGCGGGTGACAATGATAATCTGTTCATAGTTGTGACAGATAAGAATCTTCCAAGAGGGCGCACTCTATGTTGTCGTGGCTAGTGCCAGCATACTAGTACGTGCCCTTGATTGTCACCACGAAAGTACAGCTGATGTTGATGTTTACTTATTTATCATGGCGTTAATAATTTCCTGAATTTTGGCTTATGGCGGACTTAGAAGCATACTTGTAGCAGTTTTATTGTTTGCCGAAGATAAATAAAAGAGAATGTGGGTCAGACTTGAAGAGGTCCTTATTGCGAATGCTCTATGGTAATATGCCTTTTTAACGTTTTGCTACGCCCAGGCCAGGGCCTATCAAGCATGGAGCTAGCCTTCCCAGGCGCGCATGCTACGCTACTTAAAATAGGTTGGCGCTGCAAAAACAGATCGATACATCCCATGCAGTAATTGACCTGGACCAAATTAATTGCACAGGACAGGCCTAGGTTAAATTAATTGGCGCTATGCAATTTTATTCTAGTGATTACCTGTTTTGTATTTGAGGAATGAATCATAACTTTTCTAGTCTGTGCTGTGTCTGTTGAAAATACTTTTTACCTATTCAGGGGACACCCCTATTAAGGGGACACTTTTCTGTAAAATGAGGGGCAATACATCTTTTACACTACAGCCAACCCCTATTAAGGGGACACTCTATTAAGGGGATGGGGACACTTTCTGAGTGTGCAAAATGGTCAAATAAATACATTATAACCCCTATTAAGGGGACATTTTTTTTATTGTTTCAAAACAGCTACAGTAGTATCAAAATAAGAAAAAAATCTTTCAAATTTAAATTTGAAAACTTTTGAGCAATAAACATCAAACCATAATTTTTCCCTCATAATCTTTAACGTTACTTCGTACAGTATAAATACAATATTTTAACCATGGGGATTTCTTGTTTTGTGTATTTTCACATACTGGTACTGTAGGGGACAATTTTTTGGTCCCAAAGGTGCCCCCTTAATAGGGGTTCTACTGTATTATAAAACTTTGAAAAACTATGAAGTCAAAATTTTGATATAGCCTAGAATGTTCCTTTATGATCATTATGTGCTCTCGAGCCATATTGGCCTAGATAGGAGTACTTCCACAGTTTCACAGTGTGCTATTTTGCAACCTTCAATTCATTTTTGAACGTTACAGCACTTAGGTCACATGAAAAATCCTATTGACAATTCATTTAATTGTCCCACCTGAACCATGAGTAATCTTTGATTTGACTAATAATAATGTCAGTATTATGGCTCATTGTTTGCGGTATGGTCTATACTATATGAGCACATTAATAAAGGGTAGGTTGCATTGAACTTTAGCAGACCTACGAGTATGAGAAGGATCAACATCTTGTTGACAAATCATATGTATTTTATAATTTTTCTTCATATTTCATATTGATTTCAATGTCATGCAATGATTCCATATTGTTGAGTGTTACAGGTCAAGTTAAAGAAAAATTAGTTTCTTTCAACTTTTTTTGAAAAAATGGCCAGAGGGCGTTTCTGGGCTGTCATCTTTTCTAGATCAAGATTTTATGATATTTAAATCTAATCTAATCAGGTCAAAGTACTTTTTGAGGTAGCCTATTATGAAAATGACCCCATTGTAATGTTGCTACTTTTAGCTACCAAAAAGAATTGCAATATTTTAGAAAATAGTCGTAGGCCTATTTTTTTTAATATCAAAAGAAAGCTAAAACAAAGTGAGCAGAACAAAAACTGCTTCATTTTTTTACCTGCTGTAAAAACAGTGTCTGACAAGTTGCTTCAATTCAGGATATTTTTGGGATAACAATTAGTATAGGCCTCATTTTTATGAAATTTCAATATGTGTAAAAAAAATTACCTGGAAAGAATACCTCTTACATTATTTCCTTGTTCATAATCAGTTGATTGTATCATGGAGGAAGAAAATAGATATTTTCTTCCTCCATGATTGTATGGATTTTCAAAAGGCCTAGGCTAGAGTTGGATACCATGCATAGGAAATTATGCTATTGTAAACACATTCTGTTTTGTTCCTGTTATGTAATCGCCAACTTCCTGTCTTATAATCTGGATCTTACATCACTTGATTTTCCTGACAGGTTAATAAGTTGTCCTGCCTGGGATCTGACAATTTCCGAAAGAGACCAGAGAGGTCTAGATAAAGCCTGCCTTTGACTACAGTATAACAAACAGTATAACAATGTGGAAACATTGGACATCTGCAGAATATTTGAGACATTTTAGCACTGAAAAATTATTTTATTAGTTTTTACCTTTTCTGGTACTGCCACTGCTCACTTTGAAATAGAGAATCTCACTTTTTTGCTATTTTTGCTATTAATGGTTATGTTTTTATTCAGAAATCACTTAAAATGAATACTTCACAGTGAGAACAGATAATTTTAGCTTCTTTACAGTATTAATAATATTGCAGAAAACATTAAAATCCAAGTACTGTACCATTTCATGACAAAAATTTTGAATGCCAATGAGCTGATTATTAACTGCATAGTATAGAATTTGCTCCCTCAAGGAGCTAAGTGTGTATTCCATAGATGTACCTAATAATGGTGCAGTTTTATGACTCAATTGGCATGATGTGTGAAGACTGATTATTATTATTTTCCTTAAGTGCAATAATGTCGGATAACCAAGAAGAACAATATTTAATAACATAAAATAGGCATGCAGTGTGAGTAAGAGGTTTTAAATTTGATTATTATCATATTACGGTATTACTTTTAATATTTTACCTGTATTGATTTTTATAGGATTGAATAAAAGTACTGTACAGAGTCTATCAATTAGCTTCCATACATTGTCAGGAATCTCCACTTCATCAGATGAATTATGGACGTAGGATTTGGCCAGGGGACGTGCATGACAATAAACACCCACCTCATGAGTTATTTATAATGATTTTAATTATAATAATACTTTTTATTTAATAATTGTTTCATCTACATTGTTTTAGGATAACAGAACGAGCAAATCCATTCTTCGTCATGCAAAGGCGTAAGGGTCATGGAGGTGGTGGATTTACGTCTTTGTTTATTGGTACATTGGACACGGTTCTTGACACAAAGCCAGCACCGTACCGAATACTTCATCAAACACCAAATTCAGAAGTTAGCTACAGTAAGTACAGTAATTATAATGGTTAATTTTTATTAACTCTGCCAGCCAAGAAGGTTGTATCCATGTCTGTCTCTGTAAGCAGGGTTATGAAGCAGCGGTTGGCCGAGAGGTACTGTATTGTTCCTTCTTCCTGTGGAGAAGACTCTGGTTCAAAACTGGCCAATGTCAGGTTTTAAATGGAGTCTGATTGCTCCAGTGGCATATGTAGGTGGGTGCGCAGGGGCGCAACCCCCTCAAAAAATCACCATGCGCCCCCAGTTGCGCCCTCCCCCAAATCATGGTCAAGTAATTAAAAATTACCTACAATCACCTTATTTTGGGAGTTGTTTCCCTTCAAATGATCATCGATCCCCCTTCCCACTTCACCTTCGCACCCCCACTTCAAGACTTCTAGATACGCTACTGGATTGCTCTTCTTGAATATCCCTCACATTGAGAGTGAGACAGGATAAGGAAAATATTTGTATTCGTATGTATCTAAGGACCCAGCCCAATTTTGCAATTATCAATTTGAATGACGACAAATAAAGAATTATTACATGAAAAAAAAAACTAATGAATCATTATAAAATGTAGTGTAGTGGTTTTATATCAGGCATTTTGGAATTGCTAATTGCCATAATTCAGTGCTCAAGAAAACTGAGTAGCCGGGAGTGATAAAGGCATTTTATAAGTAAAAACTGTATAATTTCATGCACTTAATGCTTTTTACAGTTTAGTGTTGGCCTAGTTATGATATGGAATGTTATTGAAAGTAGAATATTTAGGAATGCTATGAAACGTATTGATTCTACTTTTGCTACAATAACTTTAATATTGCATTTAAGAAATGTGTGCAGAAATTACTTTTCATTTATAGATTGAGATTTGTGACAAATACACATTTTGAAATACCACCATGAAATATTTATTGATTACTGCATTTTTGCACCATTTACCTGACAAAACTGAGGTAGTACACAGTTTATACTGTTGGAATTTCAGACTGGGAGAATTACATACTAGGGATTACAGTACATACCAAAGTTAAACTTTGGGAGAAATACAAAAAATAATTTAAAAAAATATTTAAAATATTGGCTCTAGTATTTAATATGTTTTTAATATTCAATTTAGGAAACATTGAGCTCAAGAATGACAATAATAAACATAGTATTATTTTATTAATTATTAAGTATAATATTGTAAACATTTTTGTAAATTATCCATACTCCTTGGAAAATATTTTTAATAAAATTTAATTTTGTATAAATGTTTTACTTCTTTAGCTGTGGCTGCTGCAATGAACAAGCGAGACATTCAAGAACAGTGGGAGTGGTTGGAACAAAACATCATGGTCACTTTAGGTATAGCAATCCATTATTTCTACTCAATGATTTTATAGACATTGTAAAGATGTGTATACACTTTCAAGTCTTGTGGTACAAATTTCTAGGCTTGGCCATGATGGTCACTTCATCTTAACGCCCCCTTACCAGCCCCCTCATTTCAAGACTTCTAGGTACGCCACTGGGTGTTAAGTGGTGACAATTGTGATGGTGAATATGAATACAGCGTGATTATAATTATGGTAATGATTATTATTCAACTTGCATAATGGAAAATGCTCTAATATGATACTATACCATTTACCGGTACATAAACCAAAAGTCAAGGAATGCTTAATGAGTGTCTAGGCTCACCAAAAGCCTACTTCATAGGTTAAGCAGTAAGTGTAGGCTGTTGATTATAAAATTATGATGGATTTGTCTAACCAATAGCTACAGGGTATTTACTGTATTAACCAATAGTGATAAGTGTGTTTTACCAAAAAGTATTGGGCTTGGCCTGGTGGCATAGGCTGTTGATGATGTTTAATTAATATCCAATGAATATATAATTATAATATAAAGCATGCTGTGTCCTTGCCGAGGAAATTTCAACTTAATTTGTATTGTAGTGTTAGATACAAGCAATATACATCTACGGCAAAATCTTTAATAAATTTTGACTTACAAGTGTCATGTTTGAGTTTGAGTGTTAAAATTTTCTAATATATCTTGGTATCTTTTTTTAACAAAATAGAATTAGTAACTGAATTGGGACATTAATTTACAAACATGATAATATAATTACAAATTACTTAAAAAAAAACAACTACCATGACAATATAATAAAAAAAAAGATTAAAATGTCTTACCAAATATAAATATTAAAATTGTTACTATAATTTTTTTAAAAATTAACTTAAGGCCTATACAAATTTTTCACAAATTGAAATCACATTATGAATTAATCAAATAGCATGAAGAAGTTTCTCCATACCAAATTTAGCAGATAAAGAAAGATGGTAATCTTAAAGAAAGTTTATATGTTTGCACTGAAGTTAGGCACAATAATAAAAAAGAAATGTACAATTTTTATATGCTGCCTGCATTTTCCTTATATTCTATTGTTTCCCTTGATGTTGTTTTGCATTTTCCCGATCATCTGTCACATTGCCTCTTCAGGTGCGTTTGATGCAGATGATGATGTCACTAATTACGTGAAATGCAAGATTGAAAGCCTAGTCGCCAACCTTGAAACTCTTGAGGTTGACGAAAGCCATAGAGAAGGTAAAAAATATTTCAACTGACGTCCATTCTATTACAATTAGTACATATCGTAACATTTGACATTTCATCTGTTTCATTCTCTTACAAATAATAGGCCTACATATAACATTTGACATTTCATATCCAGTGATTTAAAAATAGAATTTTGTGTTTGTCTTGACACAGTAATTAATTTTATCTAATATAATAGTCTTTGATTAGGTTTATGAGGAATATACCATAAATCTTGTAATACTTTCTAAATAATTAATTTTGCTTTAACAATATTTTAATTGACAGTATTTAAAATAAGTATTGATTATGATGGTGATGAAGATGAATGCTGATGTAATGCATAGATCATTGTAGCATGGAGATGCTTAATAGCAAAGTATGCATAATGCTAAATCCAGTTAGCATGCTAATAACCAGCCCTGTACTAAATGTCAGTGTAGCGTTACTAAAAATTGAATTATTTCAAAAATGTCATTTCATTGTGCAGAAAGTAGGACATTATAGATCTATATTAAAAATAAATATATATATAAAATATATAATATATATAAATTATAACATTAAAAAATAGAAAATACGGTTGAGATTAGTTTTAATGAAAAGGCAATCATAAACTTCTAAGTAGAAAAAATCCAAAGTATTGGTTGATCTCAGCTACTAAAGTATGTGTGACACATTCCATTAATCACTATATAACTCTATGATTGTTGTTACCTTTCGATTTAAAATTAAAATAAAATATTTTCCTAGCTTATTAACAGACACATTAATAATATCATTTGTATATTCTTTGTATAGACCATTCAATTAGCTCAATTCAAATTAGTGGTGGCACCAGTGGGGTGGGGGCCAGGGGCATTTGCCCTCACGTCGGACAGGCCTGGATCCCCTGTCGTCAGGCGCCACAAAGAGGTTTTCAGATCAAAATTATGAAAAATAATAACTTGCCTATCCAAATAACGTTATTTTGATTGCCAATCCCTAATATTGTGGTCTAAAATCACAATTTAGACCATACTAAGCCATAAAAACTTTCTCCATGAACTTTACAGGGATTTTGTATTCGGGACCCTGACCGAGGGTTTAGTCGGCCCCTTGGTTCGGATCCCTCCATCGAACATGTCGGGCAAGGTTCTGAAGGAAGGGTTTATATATTAACAATATCAGCAAATACTAAATTATTACATTTTTCCACAGCAATTAAATCTTTCTAATTTTGTCTGCAATCGTAAAAAATGTTATCCAATGTACTTCACAAATTTTAATGTTCCTCCTGTCTCTTATCTGAGCTTATCTTAATTTATTTATAAACATCCAAGCTTAAATATAAAAGAAATATATAATATAAGCAATATCTATACTATAGGCAGTATGCTTAGTCATCCATTATTATTATAATTCATAGAATTTATATTATACACAAGTTTTGTAAAACAATCAGTCTTTGCAATTTTATTTTTTTACTCATCAGTCCAACTAAAATACACCCCTTTTCTATAAATGGAATAGCCATATTTCTACCTGCATTCGATCAATAATTTTCAGCTGGCTGCATAGGTTGTTTTTGTTAGCACCTAAACGTTATGTAGTGAGCACCTAGTATCACTACAATAGGTTTATAGTATCTTCATTCTCTATTGTAATACCATAACACAATGGGATTATTGCATTTAAATGATATTAGTATTTAGTAATAAAAATTTGCTGGAATTTTGCTGAAATTAGTGCAAATTTGTGAGACTTTGGATTATTATTTATTGATTCCTTGATTGTTGTGGATATAAGAATGCCGTTGTTTAAGAAAGAGACACCACGTAAGTTTACTTTGATTTATGTTTTTGTATTAAGTGTGGGTGAAATCTATCATTATGGCCGATGTTTATGTTTAATCTGGACTGTACTGTATTTATTTTGCCGAATTTTATTTCTGTCGGTTGTAGATAGCTTTGCTATAAGCCACCGAAAGCCATAATGAAGTTCCTGTTATAATTAAGTGCATTTTTGGATCAATTCAATAGGATTATTTAAATATTGACTATCACTTTTTTAACTAAAAATATTTTATTTTATAAGTTTTTTTTATATACAAATACAAGTTTTTTTAATACGTACCTAATTATGGGCTACTATTGCATCCATAACACCCCCTCCCACCCTACGAACTTCATGACAATTATAATATTATAATGGGTGTAGGTATTATATCTCACTGCTTATGATACTTGTCTACCTATCCAAGTTAAGGAGAAAACTTAGATCTGATTTATCAATAAAATTGTTCTCTATGTGCAATTAATTATTTGATGTTATCTGATATTTATATATTTCTGGTTTAGTTTTCGTTTTTCTTAATACATTCATTTGTACTGTAGCCACTTAGTCAGCCATTATCATAAACAACCATTTTTTTGTTCATCCATTAATTTTGTCAATAATTTACTTATTGTTCTTTCATTTTATTATGTTTAACTGATATTCGCATACAGATGTCTTCTACTCAGAATGTAAACACTTCCATGTTACAGTATTTATTCAATTTAATTTTTTATCTTTTATTCACACAATTCTCTGTGAAAGGGAGACAAAAATAACTGATGCTAATCAAAGTGAGGCTTCTAATTTTGCATATAAATGAACCCTTGATGATATGTTAGCAAAGCAAATTAATCAATAATTAATCAAGAAAGGGAAGAAGAAAATATTTGGGTTAGCACTGCACACAAATACCTTGTTAATAATTAATATTAAGTTTGGTAGAATGTTATTCTTATGGAGATTACACTTTGCATAGTGTAACTGTTTATATGTAATTTGTTTAGCCTACTCTCCTTTTAAAGCATCTAGTCATTGTAAGATTCTAAATTTCTTGATGTAGTGACTGTTGTTATACCATGATAAAATACTTCTATTCTTTAAGTAATGGGCGATTCCATATTAGAAAGTCAAAAAGTGGCCAAACCGAATAGTAATTTAAAAAAAAATCTGCTTTTGGGTGAATTGCACAACCAAATAACACTAGTATTTAAAACAATCAAGTTTTTCATGAAAATTATTGGAAATGTTATTTTTTAAAGGCAATTTATACAAAAATGGTGATTTTCTTGGTTTTTTACTATTTTCAAAATATTATTCATTTTTCTATTTATTTACTAATTGATTGATTATACACAGTTGTTAATGTTACCAGTCAATATGATGGGATATTATATAACAGTGGTGGTGCTACAGGTGGGGGGGGGGAGATTTTAACATGATATAAAAAAAAGTCTGGTGACCATCTAATTTATTTGGCTACCCAATTTTAGATAGCAACCCATAGTTTAAGAACCACTGATCTACAGTGAGGGCTAAAATGCAAGTTACGATAACGCACCGTTTTTCAGATGAGACGTTAAAAGCCGTTGGTCCTGTGTGCATTATGCCCCATGTGCACGTTAAAGAATGTAGTGCACTCTTCAGAAAAAAGTAGGGGATTGTTTCCCGGTGTACTGCCCAATCACCGCCAGAAAGACCCCAAAGGAAATAAGTCTTCTTCAGACTTTCATGGGTTATCTAAGTGGTGTTTATACCAAAATAAATCCCGTACTCCTAAACCATGTAGTACTTGATTGAATTATGTAGCTATAAGAAGATAGCTTCATAATTAATTACTGTATATACAATAAACATCTTTTTTTTTGTATTCCTGGAAATAAGTAATCTCGTAAGGTATCTTAGATGTGTATAGATATATTGTATTACTATTAGTAGTTGCATTTATCATAGCTAAGTTCTATATATTTAATGTTATTAGACATTATGCAATGTTATTAATTATGTTGACATCCTAGTTTCTAATATACTGTATTTATTCAAATAAACGTCCCCTCCAGAGCCTCAATTGGAATAAACACATTTCTCTAATAAACTCCCCGGGGCATTTATTTTTCTCTTGAATAAATGCCCCGGGAATTTTATTTTTTCTCGAATAAACCCCCTCCATCCCTCCCAAATACAGTATCTATAAACAAAACTAATGGAAGCAACACCATTCTCAACACATTCTGTTAATGTTCCACCCCAGTAGAATTACATTTTTTCTAACCTGGTTTGGATCAATACCAGTACATTAACTCATTTTGACAGTAATTAGGCATTGTAGTTCCACATTTGCAGTGAAATTAAGGGGCCTTTATTTTAGTATATACTTATCCAATTCACACTCAAAATAATAAATGCCTCCCTCGAATAAACACCCCTCAGAATACCTTTCTCGACAATAAACGCCCTGGGGCGTTTATTTGAATAAATAATGATATTTTCAAATATCACATATTTTATTACAGTGTAATCAAATATTAAAAGATTAGAATAAAGTTGTGAAAAAACAATCAATGAGTTTATACTCATTAACACATGGACGTAGGCTGGAGGGGAGGGTTGTGGGAGTTGAAATGGCAGAGTATCCCTTTTTTCGCACCCCCTGGCCAAAACCAGCCAATGCCTGTAATTACATACCAAAGTAATGATATTTCTGTAATTAATCCAAATAATAATATGATGTTTATTCTATCTATAGTATAATGTAATGTTAATGAGATTCACAGTAACATGCACCTTGAGCATGTATTAATGGTGACTCAGCCATTTAGTGAGGAAACCCTATTGAGCTAATACATCCTTTTTATTATCTTGCAGATGAGGACAGTAAATCCTTTAAATCAGCATGTGAAAAATGGAGGCGGTTGTTCACTGTGTCAGAAGATGAAAAATTAGTTAATTGTATGTTATCGTTAGCATTTAATTTTTTATTCTATAAATCACGAATGTAATTGATATAATGACATACTTGAAATTACTTAGAAATTTAACAGTGGACATAATGATAGATAACTTACGTCACTTTTAACTTTCAAAACCAGTACATGGCCTGTATTTACCTTAACCTTTTCTTATTTAACTTTCTACACATACATTAGCTTTAGTACTATACCATAAGTGTGCATTTTCTATTAAAAATGATTACAGCAATCTAATTAAAGTATACTTTATATGATAGAACGGCTCTTATCAGAACCATGTATGATACTGCAACCATACCAATATCAATTTTTTTAGTAATATAATACATCATTGCTATTATTGTTATTGTTTATTTGCAGATTACTCATGTAGTTATTGGAAAGGCAAGATGCCGCATCGAGGCTGGCTTTACCTCAGCGTAAATCACATGTGTTTTTACTCATTCCTCATGGGTACAGAGAGCCGACTCCAGATCAGGTGGACAGATGTGACCGTGGGTACTTTTAAACATACGTTTACATTTTCTTACCTGTACCTTTAATGGTGGAAACCAGGGGTGGCAAAGGGGGTGCTTATGAACATATACCGATCCTGCAAGGAATACAAGTCCAGGTCTTGATCCAATTAAAGACCACGTTTGGGACCAGGGTTACCATGGTCTTAAGCAGCTTTGGTCTTCTTCTTCCGTTAAAGTGCAAACTTCATTAATTGAAGACTGGAGCACTTGGTGGAAATTGATGCAAGCAGGCAGAATTTTAATTTAGTATTCCCCTCTTCTAAAATCTAATTAGAATCATTTATAAAGACATTTGTGACCATAGAAAAGTGGTCTTTAATGGGAGGTGGTCTTAAATTGGAGAGTTATTTAATTAAAGGGAGACCTGTGTATTGTCAGGCATTCTTTTATTAGTCATTTTTTATAAGAGTGGTACTATATATTATATTACTTGTATGTTAACAGCTGTAGCAATGAGTTCTAGGAGTAACCCAGGGGAGTGTTACCTCTCCCCCCCCACCTTTGTCCTGCTTCACACTACATAAATCAGGGATAAGATTTAAAAACCGTAGCACCGGAAAGCTTTACTGTAATTTCTACCAGTACATTGTGAGTACCTCACCTGTAACATACATTTGCCCTTGCCTTTATTTTACTGTAGAAACTGTATGATGTATGATGCAGCAGTAAAAGCTCTGTCCAGATTTCTTTGACAAGTTGTTGTATGCCCATATATAGTCATGATGTGCCTATATATGGTCATGATGTCATCATGACCATATTTAGGCATGTCACATGTTTTTGTCTAACAAAATTTGACAGTCTTGGCAGGGCTTAGTGCTTGGACTTTGAATCATGAGGTTTTGAGTTTGAGACTGTCTTTCTATAAACTTGCATTAACTGATAATAATGCTTTACTACATTTACATTCACAGCGCTTAGAGCGTAGCAACTCGGTTTTGTTTTCGGACAGCATCAAAGTTTCAACCCGTAGCACAAATTATATCTTCTCCATGTTCATCAGTCCACAAGAAGCTCATAGGCTAATGGAGCAGCTAGCAAACTTAGCGATGACACAACTACTCTCTGAGGAAGGGTTTGAGGAAGACCACAGTCTGCCAAATAGGGTCCAGTAAGTTTATACAGTTCATTGTAGGATGGTAATTGGGGGGGGGGGGGGGGCTGGGAAGCAAGGTGAGGGAAGGGAATATCATTAACTACTGTACCTCTGCCAATTTGATTATAAATTCACTGCTGTCTGTCTCTCTGTTAGCAGGGAAACCTAATAGAGTTTAGTGGAATGCTACAGACTCATCTAAGAAAGGGTATTCAATTTTTTAGGTGTGAAAAGGTCAAAGGACAAGGTCAAGGCCACATAAATTCAAAAATAAGTTATATATTTGGATGGATGAGTTGAAGAATGAATGAAAGAATGAATAAATTAATGAATTATAGACTGATTAAAAAAATGAATGGGTAAAACAAATAGATGGTTGGATAAAAATGTGGATAATTAAATCAATGGAAGAATGACTGGAAAGACTAATGAATAAATTGATGAATGAAGCTGAAAGTACCACTAGGTAAAGATCCACTTACCTATATTTCCCTGCACTTGTGTTTGTAACTGAAATAAATGTTACCTTCACATTAAAAATGATTCCAGAAGCAATGTTTACAGAATATGAGTATTGCGACCTTGAATTATGACAAACTGATGTCATAATTGATTCTACGTTTCGTTCTTTATTATAACAATTTCAAGAATGAATATATAGAAAGTGAACAATATCATTAGTATTCCATTAAAGTTGGTAGATTGTCCTCGTATTCACATCATAGTCTCTAGAGTGATAATAAATATGTATTCGCTGGCAATTAAGAAAACCACCGAAGGTTGCAATGATAGATTCTATAAGGATTGATGAGCACTACTGTCTGCAGTACTTCCATTAGCCTACATACAGTATATATATATTATATATATATATATATACAGTATATATTATATAATTGGAATGAATGTGCAAATATTACATAATATAAATGGGGGAAACGCAGTTAGAAAGATTGTATTGAAACACAATAAGAGTATATAACTATTACATTAATAATATTGATGGTATTTAACCCACGAAAAAATTGTCATAACAATTACTATTATAGTGTATAACAACTCTTAATAAAATGTATTTACTTCTGTTGCATCAAGTAACATGTCAAGTAGCACTTAGGTATAAAATTGAAAAACAAATGTAGAATGCTATTGCCTGAGGAACTTACAATTAATCTTGTGCTGAGCTAGCCTAGACATAAGAAAAAAATCAGATATGGAAACTTAATAAACTGTCCGAGACAAGAGAAGAAGAAACGATAAACATTAAAATCTATTTTTTTAGGAATTCCGGATGTATCTCATACATTTTGTTAATTACATTATTTAGTTTTTACATTATTGGAATTACAGTAGGTTTGTTATTTTTGGGTTTTTTTTTTAGGTATTTTCAAAATGCTAAATTTCAGCTAGTCTTTTTATGGTTTTTAGAAAGAAAAAGTCAGCTTCCAGCCTCAAGCGGGATCTAGATGCAAGAGCCAGGAGTGAAGCCTATAGGTTTGTTAACTTATCTTAATTTTTGAAAAATATTTAATGAATAATTAAATAGTTAGATAAATAAAAAAATAATTAAATTTCTGATTTTTAAATGAACAGATGAAAATAATAACTATGATATAGACCACAGAAATTGCAGGTTTCTTAAAAGAAAATATAATTATTCTGGTTCACCACTTACACATTTTCCATAATTAGATAAATATAACCCTTTATTACCATTTATGACCCTAAATTTTGCAATTAAAAAGAATGAAAATTTTTGACTAACCAGTTTCATAATGAATGATATGATTTTTCTGTTTTTTCCAGACAAGTATTTCGCCTGCCGGTATTTTTGACTAAACAGTTTCATAATGAATGATATGATTTTTCTGTTTCTTCCAGACAAGTATTTTGCCTGCCGGTATTTTTGACTAAACAGTTTCATAATGAATGATATGATTTTTCTGTTTCTTCCAGACAAGTATTTCGCCTGCCGGTTTCAGAAAAGTTGGATGGTGACACGGAGTGTGTGCTATGGACACCTTACAATAAGACCCACGTCGGTGGGAAATTATACATATCAAAAAACTACATGTGCTTCTCAAGTCGGGTAAGTTTAACATAAGATTGTGTTTGGTGATGGGTGGTAGTGGTAGTGTTAGTGTTGTGGTAGTGGAATGGTGGCGGTGGTGGTGGTGGTGAGGGGGATAGTATTGTGGATGATAGTGGTCTTGGTAGTGGTATTGGTGGTGGTGATGGGTGGTAGTGTTGTGGTAGTGGAATGGTGGTGGTGGTGGTGAGGGGGATGGTATTGTGGATGATGGTGGTCTTGGTAGTGGTATAGGTGGTGGTGATGTGTGGTAGTGGTAGTGTTGTGGTAGTGGAATGGTGGTGGTGGTGAGGGGGATGTATTGTGATGATGGTGGTCTTGGTATTGGTGGTGGTGATGATAATGATGATGGTGTTGATGGTTATGATTGTAATAATAACGGTAATAATGATAATGATATAATACATTGTTACCCAACATCTTTTGAAGAAAACTTTTGCACAAAAGTTTTTGCTGTTCATTATTGTAATAATAAAATCTTTATTTACCCACGGAAGCTTTTATCACCCAAGGGTGTTTTTCAACAAGGCAGTGTTGCCATTATAACAATATTAAAATGAGAAAAGGAAAAGAATACTGGTAATAGTAATAAACACACAAACTTACAAAAATAATGGTTCAATGAACATGCATCAGTAACACTTGTTAATAAACATTTAGTTTACAAAAGCTTTTTGAAGGTTCTGACATTTGGTGCAGTTCTTACATCCTCTGTAAAATTGTTCCATAACTTAGCACCATGGTGACTGAAACTTTTCTTCTTATAGGTAGTGTTGGGTTTCATTACTTACATATTGTATTGCTTTATATAATTAAAACAAAGTCACTTACATAAACTGTCTTTCTTTTCATATCAAAGGTAAAAGATCTTGCCAGAGTTGTTATACCAATGAGAGAAATATCTGTTGTCGAGAAAGTTGAGAATTCATCGCTAATCCACAATGGAATTCATATAACCACTAAGGGGAAGGTAACTTCATCTCACTTGATTATTTATTTAGGAAAAGAAATTGAAGAATCTGAGAAGTAATGAAAGTTTAAACACATGATACCTTAGATCCATTTGCTAAAGCATGCATGGTGTTGCAATCAATGTGGGAGGTGTTTTCCGGGAGATCTTGCTTGCTTACGTGAAAGTGGGAGGTCGCCCCGATTTCCGGAGGACTCCCTCTGTGAGTTGAGGGAGACTTGGGGCCCCTGCTTTATGCAGATGGATAAATGAGTACATGATGAAATGCAGAAGATTTGTAATGAATTTAGAGTAGTATAGAATTGATTTTCTACAACTGAGAATGCTTTCCAGAGAGTGAAAAAGGTTACACATTTGTGTTTTCGATTGATTATTTATCCATGATGGTATATACGTAAAAGAGAATATGATGTAATGTGCTATACGTTATATTACATTTAAGATAATATGTATTTTAATATCATCAGCACAAACAGTAGTAACATAAATTGGTTTCCTTGATGCAACATTAAAATAGTGTAATGACCTTTTAGCATCCATTTGTGTACATCTTGTAAGTACAAATATTTTTTTCAATTATAAAAGTAATGGGATAAGAAGAAATCAGATTCAATCCATGAACTTATGTTTCTTTCAGATGACGATTCTATTAGCTTCTCTGAAAGATCGTGATTTTCTTGTCCAGCTCATCTCAGATTTTCTTTCTAAGTGTAGTGAGAATACAAGGTAAGAAATTGTTACCTTTGAGTTTTGTTTTTTTTTTCTCTTTTGTAGGGATTTCACCCACATTTTATTTCCAATAAAAGATATATTTCGATGTTAAAACATATAAAGTTTATATAAGAAAATATATAACATATATACTTTTGAGATTTTTTTTACGTGTTTGGATGCAGTTCCACAATTTTCATTGTTTGATTATTTGCTCCCATTGGCAATATATAATGTATGCAGACATTCTTCTTAAGAACAAGGATGAAAATCATGCACACCGATGGGAATTCCTAAGCCAGATTAATTAAATAGTGTTGTGATCTCATGGGCATTGTATCATGACAAGCTGCAACGGTTATAATTTATAATTATTAGGTACACTCTGTTTAAGAACGATGTTATGAATCTTTTAAAGGGGATGTGCTTAATTTTGTGTTTCTTGTTTCCTCATCTATTTCTTTTCTCTTCTCATATTCCTTTCTGCTTGTCTCTTCCTCTTTTCCTTCTCATCTCATTCTTTTTTCTTTCTTTATTTTCTAAACCTTCACTGTCTCCTCTTTATTTACTGATTTTTTTAAAACCATATTTATAGAGTGAGACCCTTTCAGCATATCCTAGAAGGGACCCTCTAAAATAAATGAAATAATTTGATGCTTTTATCAGCGCAGTCTCTTTATGTGGCTCAGGGAGTGGTGTTGTTCTTAGTCGTGAGAAAAAAATTCTTCTGTCCCAGTATTTGAACCCAGGACCCTAGAATTAGTAGAAGGCAAGAATCTTAACTACTAAGTTATTCAACTCTGCTCCACTCATTTTTCTCTTCTTCCTGATGTCCTTTTCTATTCTTTTATCTTTTTTCCTTCCTCCCTTCTCTCCATAAAGTTCAGTTTGGTGTACAATTTATTGGAAGGGATAAGCTGATTATAGGACTGGTGAATGTTACAACAGAAAGTAGCATTTGTGATTTCCTTTTTAGAAAATTGTCAGCATTTGAGATATGAAATATTTCACATTTGCTGCTTTTTGCAGAATTTAATGTTCCAGAGACTATATTATCTGTGTAATTGAGTTAATAAGTATTTGGAATTACCTTCTTGAAAGTGTTGTGTTGGCCCTCTCCTTAAACAATCTGAGGAAGATAAGGATTGAAGTACGATTTTAAAGGCCCTAGAGACCTAAGCATTTCCCACAATAATCAAGTGTTAAGTATATGGCTTTGAGGTGACCTTGAGAAATGCTCTCACCATTCATTAGCTTTCCCATGGGTAAAAAGTTAACTTAAATTAATATTGTACAATATAAATAATATAATAATGTCATGTTAAAAGGCTTAGGTCTCCTAGTTTGTGCACTTTGAATTAGGCCAACATTATGAGCACCATTGGACATTATATTTTGCTGTGGTTATTAGTGCTACAAACCTTTAAATTAATTGATTCTACATTTCTAAGTTCTTACACATGGGAGGGTTGTGCGTACTATCTACAAAGCATACTGTAGAATTAATTCAGCTTCAAATTTTCTTCTTTTCTAACTGTATTAAAAAAAATATTCACATAAAATCTACATAATTATCCAGGAAATTGAATTGGCATGGAATAAGCCAAACACATATAATATTAACGTAATCTCCAACACAGAGGTTTAATTATGTAGATATACTTCATTATTTGATTAATGAACGATCATCCAATGCAGAGGTGTATACATTTATGTACAGTATTTTGTAGTGTGTTACAAAGTCATGTAGAACCGGTTTGGTTTCAATCCCTTGCTGTGAATTTCAGCAAAGTAATTTATCTGTGTTGCTTCTCTCCACCCTGGAGTATAAATGGGTTGCTTGCTCCTGCATTGTTTACCAGTAGCAACACTTAAAAAAAAAGCATGTGGACCCAATGACTAGTTAAAAGACTGTCTCTTA